GCATAACCAGAGGACAATGTATGCCCCCGCTGATTGCTCCCATTTCTCTGCTACAGGGCCAAGCCATATGAAGACTTTGCCTGTGAAAACCAGGAATCCAATTCCAAGGAGATTGGCGAGCAAAGCTGCTGCTGCTGCACCTACTTTCTGCCAAAAACTCAATCTCCGCCATATTGCCATCATGCGCTGCGAGGTTTCATTCAACCGATGGGAGACCTGCTTCCAGAGGGTAGGACGCTCGGAGGGGTGGGCGGAATTGCTCCTGCTAGATGCCAAATGACTCCATGGCGGATACGAATCATTGTCTGCGGGTGAAAACGATTCTGAAGGCGAGGTGGGGAGGGACAAAGCCCGAGCGGTAGATGTATAGTCGGCAGGCATCTTTGAGGAGTATAAAATGGGGTGTTATGGCTATTTGAAAGCCGGAGAGACAGTCCGAAAACAAGGGTTCGCAGGCCAATGGAGTTCGACGACGATTAGGTGGAAGCGGAGCGTAACACTAACGTGTATCTTATTGTTGCGTTTTATAGAAAATAGTCCCCGATAGATCGCCTCGTTTCTGGTCGTTGATCAATTAGCGAGGGCGTATCTATGCCCCCAACGTGAGCTGATACATGGGATGTTGGAAAGGGATCGATGTTTTGCAACGAGTCTGGCTGGAAGAGCGTTCCTGAATTGGTGGAGAAAAGGAAGAAAGATTTACCAGGTAAAAGCTAAATAGCCATGATGAATCTTCAGTCGCGGCAGCAGATAGATAAAAGCATGCGATGACAGTTGAAACGTGGCATAGAGCCCCTATAAAGACGACGATAGTTTGTCTGCCTGAGAGTGAAACGGAGGCAGTGCTATTAGTTTGGTGGTTAATCAATGGAACTGGCACAGTACTGTACGTTAGTTGCTGACTGTACGGTATGAAGTCACCCTATCACCGCATGAGTACCCCCGGTACGGTATTAATGTACTCAGTATCAGACATGCTTACTATGACCTACCTTCTGAAGCTTCATTCTTTCAAATCTACCAGACTGTTATTCAGAATTTGACTATACATTTCTATACCACTAGAACTCTGTTTCTCTTCATTATTGTAGACAAATGGTAAAAATAGCTACTATGCTTTCTGGTACATGCCTGTATGCAGCCTGCACCCAAGGTTCGTGATGATCAGTTCCCGTACCAGATAAGGAGTATATGTATGTATCGGCAGATCGACCAGTGATCCTGTTGGGTTATCGCCCGTGCCAAGACCGTCTGGTTTTGCCATCAGTCTAGATTTCATGGAAAGGCAGCAGCATGTCAATTTCCCCCACATCCATACCCAGCGACGTTTTTGGAACGGGAAAGGGGAGTCAAAAAAAGGTAAAAGGCTATATAGTACCTTGATATACCAAACTCTATGGAAGAATCATCAGGTCAAGCAAATAAACATACTAAAGCAGAGAAAAATAAAAAAGAAGTATAGAACAAGCACGGCTTATAAAAATTTTTATTTTATAAAACAGAAACACCTCTCTTTCTCTGTAACACCTAGTCAATATCAACCGAATGGATCCATGGATATTGACAACTGTTTCCATTTGGGTTTAGTGCTTCACTTAATCGGGGGGAAGATCGAGAGGGAGGGGAGAATTGGTGGTGCCTCAGGTTGGAGAACAAATAATCTATGGACAAAAGGTAAAGCTCTCGAGCAAACATATGTTTCCTTCCCCCCCCCCAAATTTAATTCCCACCTTGACACCCGTAACCGTACCTTTCTCGCCAACTAAGTTAAACTACTTACTCTACACCCGTCAATTTCCTTCTTCTCCTTCTCCTTCTTTTCTTTTTGCTTGCTTTTTCTTTGCATATTTCTTCTTCGTTTCTCCCATTAAGTTGCCTTTGGTCCTCTTCTTCTTTATTTCTTGGATGACCACTTAATCTTGCCTTATTGATCGTTCGCTGTGCAGATGCGATGCGATTACCTGTGGTTTACAACACGTTTCCTGTCGCATCCTGCTAGCATCTCCTATCTAACATCTTGTTCCATCCATGATCATACAATAGATTACCTCTCTGGACAAGGGAACAATGATATCTGAATGTTAAACCCCCTCCTCAGTTTGTGGTGGTGTTGCACGATCTCATTCTTGTTTTCTATCAACTTGCTGTCTTACCCCTCATTTCCCTCCGCCCCTTTTACACCGCGTATATCTCCCCCATTATCAACACCCCTCAGTTGTATGATCGCCTCCACTCAATATGATTTCAGAAGAGCTTGTTGAGGACTGCCTCCAATCCCTTCAAGGTCAAAACTTCGACGAGGAAGAGCAGGCCGAGAAGGCCGAGGATTTCCTGCGAGAGAAGACCTCCTTGTCGGGGTCATCCTTAGAAAATGCTGTGCTTGACGTCCTATGGAGACATCGAAATCGCACCCTTCCAGATTCCTCCCCTCCTCCGCCCCGACATACAGTCATTCGCCGCTCATCCCCCGCCCCCTGGCAGATGGGTCGTTCGTCCACGCCGTTGTCACCCCATTCAAATCTAGGAACGAGCCCGGGGAGCACCTCCTGGCTTCCTAACTCACGAGGCGGTTTCTCACGACCGGCGCTGTCCTCTACTGTATCACCATTTACTTCCCCGCGCCCGTCACCAAGGCTCGCTCTTGCCCAGCCGATCCCTCACTCCCCGAATTTAAACGCATACGAATTCTCCGACCACACCCAAGTGTCCGATTTCTATGGTGATTTTGGTAGCGACAGCAATGTAGACTGGCTGGTAGCCGATGATGCCAACAGTACTACCTCTTCTGTGGGAACATTGAGCGCTATTGGAAGCCTTAGTGCTACGGCTCCTGAATTTGTCCCGGATATGAGCCCCCATGATATTTTGCGCACAGTGCTCGGAGATAAAAGGACAAACGATGAGATAGAAGCTGCCCTCGAAGCAAACAGTTACGACTTAGGCGCGACAATTGCATCTCTGTCTCAAGGCCATGATGTGGATGGATTCGTCCATCACTCTGATGACACTCGCGTGGTTGTCGGAAAATCTATGGCAATGGAGCAAGCAAAACCCGGAGGTTTCCCAGGCCAAATTCGTAGTCCGGTGGTCTGCAAGTATTGGTTGTCTACTGGCCAATGTCTCCGCGCCGACTGCCGGTTTAGCCACGACCTAACCAATCATCTTTGCAAGTGAGTCTGATGATGGCCTATGTAGACGTGTTCCAACAGACAGTGGTACTGACCATGTTACCCTCTTTTTATAGATACTGGGTTATGGGCAATTGTTTGGCTGGCGACGGTTGTCCTTTTTCGCACGACCCTTCAGCGCTCGTCGCCAATCTCAGCGTGACGGACGGCAGTCATCAAGGCTCACCTGGTCCTCAGTTCCACGTAGATAGCGCCTCCGAAGCATTCCCTCCTTTGCAATCTTCGCTAGGAGTGGGTGATCAATGGGCGGGCCAATACATTGGCAAATACCCAGCTCATTTATCGGGTCTAATGGGAGGCAAAGGCGTTCCGCAATCAATGCAGCTTGTCACGGGCAAACGAAATGGAAGTTCAACACATGGATCTCGCCCTCATTCCCGACCTGGTAGCAGGCATCAAAATCGTGAATTAAACCCGGCCGCTCCGTCTGTGGATGACCCAGATGCATTTCCTACACTTGCTGCTGTCAGCGCCAAAAATAAAAAACATCATGGTAAACGCGGCGCGCATAATCGTGAACCCAATTCAAATAAAGATAGTGTGCCTACTTCACTAGCAGATGTCGTACGCATGTCTCCCTCTCCCGCAGTTGGGAAGGGCAAGACCACCTCCAGAAACAAAGAAGGGGCCAAAGGCCGCGAGAACAGCGCCGCTGCTCAGTCTATCCCACCACCGCAAAACATCCCCTGGCTCGAGACAGGCTCGCGAGCCAACCAGCAATATATCAAGTACCGTACGGAAGCCATCCGCCATGGCACAGTAAGGAACAAGTTTCTCCAAAGGTAAGAGTCTCGAGATGTACCTCCGTTCCGAGTAAGCTGACTGTCTTTATAAGTGCGGCCCAAGCATGGAATCGTAATGATGCTAGGGCGGCAAAAGCTTTATCTCTGCGGGGTCAGGCGGAGAACGAAGCTATGCGTAAGTGCCATCGAGAAGCCGCGCGGCAACTATACGAAGAACGAAATAAGCACATAGTCAATGCCGGTCTGGATGATACCCTGGAAGAGCTCTATGTAGATCTGCATGGCCTACACCCCGAGGAAGCAATTGAATACCTGGAGAAGATCCTCCTCAAGCATGCTAATGAAGGCCGGCGTGTTGTCTATGCCATCACAGGCACAGGCCACCATTCTAAGAATGGGAAAGACAAGATAGGAAAGGCAGTCAAGGCATGGTTGAACGAGTGGAAATACCTATTCCGTGAATTTAGCGTACCTGGAGAAAGGGGGGGTTATGTGGGTGGGATCTTGGGCATCGATCCCACGAGTTACGATAGATCTCTAGCTAAGAGTCTAGAAGACAGTGCTGACGCAAAAGCGGGTGCAGGAGGGAATACACCCGTGCTGACGATGGGCAAGATCCAACTGTTGAAGCGGGAGGATTTGGAGGTGAACCACTAAAACACAATTGAGGAAGGCCTTTCCATATATGAATTCAAAGTGAAAGGAACAGTACGTGTGTTGTGCACTACAAATCGCCTTTATGATTTGTTACGATATCAATGGTGTGCCCACCACCTTCCGCCCTCAATCGCCTAAGATGCGGAGTTGCAAGTGGCGGTGGCTTTCCCGCAGTCCGAACGCAAATTCCCCATGGACATCAGTCCCAGCAAGTATATGAATATATGCAGGAACTCAGGGAATGAAATAGATAAATCTCTAATCATCTTTTCCCGTGCATAGCATCTACTTTCTTCTGGCCAGCTGTTTGTCCGTCTCCTCTTACTCCTTCAACACGGAGGCTGGCTAGTAATAAACTATTATTTCAATATACGTATCCATTGGTGTTTCTTTTTCCTGGCTGTAGGTGAGGTTTGCAGAAAAAGACCATTGTATTAAGTTAGAACGAAGAGTAATATTTACTCGGGCTCCTGGTCGCGCCACTTCTCGCGCAATTCTTCAACATTGAAACCGCAGGCCTCGGCCTTCTTCACGATTGCTCTCGCCTTTTCAGCGACTGGGACATCAATCATCTTTCCATCCAACGTCCAAGCGCCCCGACCCGCAGCCGCGGCCTTGTCATCTGCAATAGTCACCCGCACAGCCCACTGAACCTCATCCGAATCTGGGCCAAAGATCTGCTGTACAGTCGGCACCTGAGAAGGATGGATACACTGCTTCCCATTGAATCCCAACTGCCTGCCACCACGACATTCTTCTTCTAAAACAGCCGGGGGGGACCCATCGCCCTTAGTTGATTTATAAGTCGTACAGACAAGGTCAATCGTAGAAGGCAAATTGGCCGCCCTCGCAGCAGTGGCAATCATAGACCTGGCGAAAAGAAATTCAGTCAAATCGGGGGTCCGCGTAAGACTGAGGTCGAGGGCGAAATCCTCAGCGGCGAAAATCAGGCCCTGAAGGAGTGGCGTGGAGGCGCAGATCTGGGTCAGGTTGGTCAGGGATTTGGCCGACTCAACAAGAGCCAGGAGAGAAATAGGGGGTCGAGAGGAAGCATCTTGAGACTGAGGCTGTTGGGAAAGAGTGTGGGTGATGACGTCGTTGACGAATGTTAGGTCGGAAGCTGAGTTTACTTTCGGGATGACGATTGTGCTTAGATTGGGGGATTGGAGCTGTTGATTTTGTGAGCAGGTGGAATTGGGGAGAAAATAAGCAGGATCTAGATATGAACTTACTACTTCTGTTAAGTCTGCTAGGGCTAGACCGCTGTCTACGGAGTTGATGCGGACTGCTCGTTCGCGGATGCCTGAGGGTGCGGGCTGGTCGAGAGCTCTCCGCACCAGGGAACGAGCTTCCGCTTTCTTGTGCGGAGTCACGCTGTCTTCCAGATCGTAGGCTACGCAGTCGGCTGTTAATGTGCGTGATTTGTCGATGAAGCGCTGCGATGAGCCCGGGACTGGATAAATTAGGGTCAGTGATGGCTTGTCTGGGTGGAAGCCTTGCGGTGCGCTTGCAATCATCATGGATCGTAAGGGCGAGGTGAAATGCGGGGAAGCGCTGGGAGAGACGTACTGTAGAGCAGTGCGCGACGGAGCGCATTTCTGGATGCCATTGTCGCGGGGTGGTGAGCGATTCAAAGCGTCTCTGTACGTATCTTGCTTCTCTTTAGTTCCGGCAGTGTTTCAGCGGGGTGAGGAGAGCGAGAAGACTGACGGCAGTTGAGAAGTAATTCTTTTCCTCCCTCGGCACGAGGGCATAAAGGCTTCTCCGGAATCTAGATTTCACATTGTGAGATCAGTGGAGACATCCATGAGCTTATTTTAAAGAGGGCCCATGATGCGTCCCGCTCAATTGAAACTAATTTGGCATTTCACGCCGCGTGTGAGCTCTCTCCACATGATAGCTTGTTTGTGTGCTTGTAGGTATGTTCATACCTGAGAGACCATCTTATCAATCCATCAAAAACAGCAGTACGGAGGAGTACGTAAATAACCGCGTATCAAAAGCTCCACCGCCCGTATTCTGCCATCACCCACCGCCCTGTCATGGGAGACACGCAACATCATCGCATTCATTCCGCCCTGTCGACTATTCTTCCTGAGAAGAAGAGCGAAGTGAGCGTAATTGCTCTCCTGCCTTTGTCGTTAGCTTTCTTGCTCACCCTGTTAAATAGATACTAAAGCTTTTGCCTCCGTCGACATGGAGCAACAACCCCTTAATCCTGAACCCCAGCAGGGGGATCTCAACTGGCGCCTGAGTGCGCATCCGATTACGTTGCTTTGTTTCCTGGGCTTCCGCACCAGTGCCCTACTGATGTACCTATTCGGGGTGCTGTTTATTAAGAATTTGTATGTGCCTTTATTATGTTCTTGCATAGCTCACTCCTGCCATATAATACCCACCCCCTCACCTCTCGTGGGCAATCTCGGAGATTTCTGCCCCTGAATATATGGCCGATCCCATCTAATCTGAATCTACAGTATCTTGGTCTTCATCATCACCCTGCTTCTCCTCGCAGCGGACTTCTATTACCTCAAAAACATTGCCGGACGTCGCTTGGTTGGTCTCCGCTGGTGGAACGAAGTGAACACTGCGAGTGGTGACTCGCACTGGGTGTTCGAATCCTCGGACCCAACAACTCGAAGGATCGCGGCTACAGATAAGAGATTCTTCTGGCTTAGCTTGTATGTGACGCCTGCGCTCTGGGTTGGATTGGCGATTTTGGCCATCATTAGACTGAGCAGTGTTATTTGGCTGAGCTTGGTTGGTGAGTATTGTCTTGTCTTCTGTCACGCTCGGTTTCTGATGCTAATTGGTATGGTATAGCCATTGCCCTCGTCTTGACAATCACCAATACCCTTGCTTTCTCACGGTGCGATCGCTTCAGCCAAGCGTCCACCTTTGCTAACAGGGCACTGTCTGGAGGAATTGTGAACAACATCGCGGGGGGTCTGCTGGGCAGACTCTTCAAGTAAGCAAGCAAGTCTTGAACTTTGTGCATTGTATGGCCGTCTTTCCTCCTTTTATACATCTGGATGTATTTTACAAATCACGTGCGCGTTATGTATGCTCCTAAAATTCAGGAGCCTCTCTCATTATGAAAATGAATGCAACATGTTCTGTGTCTCACTTTGTTATCCCTCGCTATCTTATATCATCATTAGTCATTTTGAGGGATTTTTTTTTTTTTTTTCAAGTCTTGAGTTTGGTCTCAAATCATTGGTTCACGTTTCTCCCAAGGGTTTGACTCGTCTCAAACGCTGCGCAACCACAGTTATTAGCACGAGTTATGTCAAAGCTGACATGAATTGTGCACAAGAAAGGGTACTAAACTCGACAACCTATTTAGCTTGAAGGACTCTTGCTATTAGACTCATTGCTATAAGGCCCTCTTCCCAGGAAAGGAGCACATACCTACATCACAACATCTAGTAACCCCTGATATTCGCAATCTGAAATTGCCTCCCCGACTTGAAAACAGATACTTACAAACAAATAGACAGTATACAGGGGGGGGGGGGGGGGGCAAATATTTATCTAGGCAGAACCCAAAGTCTCATCTCTAAGTGACCAATTCATCCCAACAACAAAATTCCGTAGAACCAACAACTCACAACAAAAAGGCCAATGCAACCCACCCATCCATTTACAAAAAACAACAAAGGCACTAGCCTGAGAAGATAACGCATGACTCTTGGGATTCTGATTTCAGGGGAAAATGGAATAGGGAGTGACTGTGCCGCAGTACATACATTAGCGTCTGGTGTTTTTATTTACTAACTAGTGAGTGCTCAGCCTACTGACAAGGATGTTGAACAAACAAACGAGGCTGGGGTTCTCTCTATCCAGGTCCATTCGACATGGCTCTCAACGCCGCCAACAAAGAAAAACAAGATTTATTACAGATAGCCCCTTTGTGGGTGCTGCATGGGAGTCATATTTAATAGCAAAATAAGACATAACATCAATATAAATGCGTATATACAGTCCATTCTCTCAAGCCCTAACTCTACCTTAAACAAATCCAAATCCAAATCCAAGAACCAATTTCACAACTCACCCCAATT